ACTCGCTTTGGAGACCAGGCTGGCCTCGAACTCACAGAGATCCACCTGCCTCTGCCTCCCGAGTGCTGGGATTAAAGGTGTGCGCCACCACCGCCCGGCGAAATCCCTTTTTTTAATAGTACAGTTATGCCTTCTGATGCTGCATAGTAAATGGAATACAAAATTAACATAATTTCCCAGAAATAGCAGTTACTGGGAAAGATGGGAATATGTGTGTGTGTGTGTGTGTGTGTGTGTGTGTAAGAAAACCTTGGAATAAACCTAACCAAGAAAGTGAAAGAAAGACCTTTATAATGAAAAATTTTTAAACACCAAAGAAAGAAACCAAAGAAGGCATCAGAAAATGGAGAGTCCTCCTGTGGTGGTTTGAAAGAAATGGCCCCCAAAGGGAGTGGCTTTGTTGTAGTAGGTGTGGCCTCGTTGGAGTAAGTGTGTCATTGTTGAGATTTCATATATGCTCAAGATATCACCAGTGTCTCAGACCACTTCCTGTTGCCTGCAAGATATAGGACTCTCAGCTACTTCTCAAGTACCATATCTACCTGTATCCTGCCATGTCTCACCATGATGACAATGGACTAAACTTCTGAAAATGTAAGCTGGCCCCAATTAAATGTTTTCTTTTATAAGAGTTGCCATGGTCATGGTATCTCTTCACAGCAATTGAAACCCTAACTAAGACAGAAGTTGGTACCAAGGACTGGGGTATTGCTGTGATAGGCTGGACCATGATTTTGTTTGAATAATATGGACTTTGGTACTTTTGGTTGGAAAAGCAGTTCAACACTTTCATGTGCTATACTAGTGGGAGCATGGAAGACAGTGGTGCTAAGTAGGGTTTAATGAACTGTAGGGGGCTGGCTCACGAGATTTTTAGAGGAGAATAATAATAATATGTAGCCTAAAGATCATTTTTACCATGTTTTGGTGAAGAGTGTGGCTACTTTGCCCTTGTCCTAAGAGTCTGCCTGAGGCTAAAGTGAAGAGATTTGGCAGAGGAAATGCCAAAACAGCCTAGCATATCTAATGTGTTAACTCTAATGAAGATATATAATGAAAAGGAGCAAGCTAAGCAGGGGAAAAAACTATTTGAGGAGAAAAGGAGCACCAGGAAGTGGAATGGAGCTAAGTCCTGTATTCAAGGAGAAAAACAGATTAAGAAATGGAATAAAGGATGTGATCACCTCACACAAGATTCCACCCAGCTTTGTTTCCAACTTGTGAAAAAGAATTAAAGAAAATCTTAAGCCGGGCGGTGGTGGCGCACGCCTTTAATTCAGACACTCAGGAGGCAGAGCCAGGCGGATCTCTGTGAGTTTGAGGCCAGCCTGGGCTACAGAGTGAGTTCCAGGACAGGCGCAAAGCTACACAGAGAAACCCTGTCTCAAAAAACAAAAACAAAAAAAAAAAGAAAAGAAAAGAAAAAGAAAAAAAGAAAAAAGAAAATTTTAGAGCCGGGTTTGGTGGTACATGCTTTTAATCCCAGCACTCCAGAGGCAGAGGATGGTGGGTAAGTAATATTTTTAAAAATGTCATCAGCCTTAGACATTAGGGAAATGAAAATTAAAACTACTTTGAGATTTCATCTTACCCTACTCAGAATGACTAAGATTAAGAAAACAAAGGACAACTGGTGTGGATGAGGAAGAAGGAACCCCCATGCATTGTTGGTGGGAGTGCAAATTCATGCAGCCACTGTGGAAATCAATCTGGAGTTTTTTCAGAAAACTAGAAAATTAGAAATCAATCTAGCACATAACCTAAGTATACCATAAAATCAAAGGACTCTTATTTCCTACTACAGAGATCCATGCTCATTCATGTCCATAGTTGCCCCACTCAAAATAGCTAGAAAATAAAAACAGCCTAGATGCCCATCTGATGCATGGATAATGAAAGTATGGTTATCCATATACAGTAGAATTTTATTTAGCTGTGCAGAAAAATGAAATTTTTCTGGTACATGTATGGAGCTAGAAATCATAATCAGTGAGGTAACTTAGACCCAGAAAGACAAACACTACACGTTCTCAGTCATAAGTGGATCAAATTTTTAGACTTGTGTGTTTAATTTGAAATACCTCCAGAATGCAGGAAACAAGAAAGTTGGCAATGAGGAAGAAAGATCTTAAGAAGTGGGACAGCAGAATAAAGATGATAGACAGGGGAAAGGAATAACAGTTGGGGGGGGGGTTAAATGGTGAGAGAGATAAGGGGGTAGGACAGAGGGGGGGGGGTGTAACCAACATTAACAATGCTTGAAAAAGCCATACAGAAATGTAGTATTTTGTAAGATATGTAAGTTTAATTTGAGTTACCTTACACAGTGAATTATGCTCATCCCAGAAGCAATAGGTTGACAAAAACAAAAACAAAACAACAAACAATAAAAACCTAGTGATAGGTATGGCATACTTTCCCTCAAGTTGTTGGTCAGCAGTGTCCCAGAAACCCCCAAACTAACACAGGCTACTGCCACTGCTTTTGGTTGCCCCCCTGAATTTGATCATAAAACTACATACTTTGGTCACAGATCATGGAGACATCAAGCTGGTCCTGAGCAGGAAGCTTCCTCTCTCTTGGACAGCTTTCATAGTCCTGGAAAGTGCTATGTCAGCTGCTGAGGGCAACAAGTCAGTCTTACCCAGTTGTTAACCGTGGGAGCTGCAATAATGACCAGTGTGGCAAGATTGCCTATGGGTACGATAGTGGCACAGTTGTTATGGGGATGACCAATTACTTTCTGGTTAGATTTAAGGCCCATGCCACTGGAGGAAACACATGCCTGGGACTGAAAGTCTGACCAAGAACCCATGGTTGGGGAGCTCCCAGGCGCCGGGGCTGAATCTACCACTGTTGTTCTGCTTAATGTACATTGTTTCAAACTTCCCTCTAAAATTGTTGTCCTTCTACACAGATTAAGGACACTTTCTCACAGCCTCAGAGAAGCTTCTTTGTGCAGCAGATGCTGGTGGTGTACAAACTTACAATTGCTCAAAGTGGGAGAATAAGTATCAATAGAGTGCTCACCACAAAATGAGTATAATTGTTTGAAAAATGGGAAAACAGTCCCATAAACATTTTGCCATCAGACTCTGTTTCTATTTATACTTTCCTTAGTCCGGAATGTTGTCTGGATTTACTCAGTATAAAAATCTTATTCTCTATCACATTTCATTTCATGAAAAAAAAAA